CACAACAAACTTTTTTGTAAGTTGATCATGTTATTAAATATATTTTAGCATGTTGTGTATGTTAATGTTATATTATATGATGGATGAATGACCCATACATAATTTCCTTGTGTGATAGGTTTTGGCTACAACATTATGTGGTGAAGGTTTGCCTAAGAAGGTAGAAAAAGCTCTTACTTCAACATAGAAATGAGAGTTTATTTGAAGTAGAAATGTATTAGATTGGAAGGCTAAAGCTATCTGCCTATTTGAAGTTTGGATGCGTCATTTTTACATACCATGTCGCATCAATGCTGGACATGTCAGATTTGGCATGAAGAACAACAACAATAGAATTATGCATGCTAAAGTTATTTGTTAGTTAGAGCATTTTGTACATAGTGATACTGAGATTTTTGCATAGCACTGAATTATAAAATTATATGTACACAGTGGAATTTTTGTGTAATCATATGTTTGTATAATTATTTTGAATGTGTTAATATGACATTCATAAAATGATACGAGTAGCTTACAAAACATTTGAGCATACAAACATATGGAGATTATGTAAAACTACCTAGCACCCTTTTCTACATCTATAGGTATCTTCAACTCTGCCTCAACCAAATATGGTAATCGCTTTGTGGTCCTTAACTCAATTTAGTACACATTTGTACATTTGTTGTCGAAACCCTTCGCTTGAACACACAAATTGTTGCCACACAAATCTCCATTCTTATTTTTCACCACATTTCACGCAAAACCCATTCATTTTTCTGCATTCATTATAGAATTTATAACCTTCATTAACAAGAACAAATTCCATTATCTCAATCCCACTGCTACATAAATCAAACAAATTCATGTATCAATCATTTTGCATATCAACTTCATTTAAATTTTCCTTTTCCTCACCAACATTGCATTCCTCAACAAAAGCCTGAAACAAATAATTATAAAACACATGTTAGTTCATGCAAATAGAATATAATAAGGTTATGCACTTATATATGTAAACCTACACTACCTCTTCGTTTCCATCATTATTTCCACCCGAATCCATCTTAAAATATTTCTCTTTTAATGGGTGTTATTCACCTACCCCTACCTCTTTGTCGTCCTATTCTCCTTCCTCTTTCTAATTGAAATTATGTTAGCCTTCATCTTTAACTAAGTCTTTCACATTTTCTTTGCAAAAAGGCTTCAATTGTGCTTCCTCTCTTAGCAAGGGTTCATTTTCGGCTAGGTTAGCATCTTGCTATTCATCACAAATATGAAATCTTAGCACTTTTAACAATTAACCATATTACTCTATGAAAATAGATGATAATACCCAAGATAGTCACTTGGTTATAAATGTGAGTTTTACACTTTATCCTTTTGAAGTAAACTTTATTAACACATACCAATTGATGACAAAGACTTGAAGACATTAGAAGGACTTCAAGGACCAATGACAAGGACAGGGCAAAGAGAATAAATGGAGACTTAGAAAAGATTGTTGTTATTCTAATTGAAAGAGAACTTAATTTGGAGTTAGAAATGTCCAATATTGTCAATTACATATGCTTAGAGAATTTGGACTCTAATGAGTTTCATTAGGATTTAATTATTATATTTAGTTTATTTATTTTAATATTAGTCATTACTTATTTTAAGTTTTTATTTAGAATAAAATCTTGTTATTTTATTTAGTTTATTTGAATTTAGGCTTGTTAGTATAAGAGGCCCGTTAGGGTTTGTGTTAGTATTGGTTTATAAGTATTAGGCATATATAAGCTCTTATAAATACACTTTTAATTTGTTTTTAAATACAATTTAAGATTGAACACCCTTGTGAGAGCGTGTGACTCTAGGTTCTTGGGTGAACCGATTTTCTTTGATCTTATCAAGAGACCAAGACTCTTGTGACGACTGTTTCTTAACTTATCAATCTTGTGATTGTGGCGTCATTTTCCATCTCTATTTTATTTTTCCTTTTTATTATTTTTCTTCTTATTTCAATTCCTATTTGTGCCCTAATAATTTTATTTTTATTGTGTGAAATCCAATTTAAGATCGTTTAATTTGGCGACACGGTTTGTGGTTGTCATCACACTGTTACTTCCAATTCTTAACTTTTTCATCGATCAATCTTAACCATTAATTTTATATCTAAAAATATCAAATACTCACGCTTAATTCCACTTTGCTTATTGAAAATAATTGCTTTCTTTAAATTTCACTTCTACAACAAGTGTGAGGATATTAGAATCCACCTTTTTTATGATGGATAGTAGAAACTTTTGAATAAGACTAATATTCTAGAACTAACAACAATATAAAAAAATAAAGAAAAGATACATTTGTGAAAGATGATGAAAAAAATAAACTATAAACGAAATAAATTTATATGGGAGAAAATAAATATTTTTATTATTGATAATAAATATTTTATTATCTTATTAGATTATATTAAAGAGATAAATTTTTAAAATTAAAAAATCAAATTATTAAAAGATAAAAACTTAAATTAAAATCAAGATAAAATGTAGAAATAAATAAATAAATAAATATTAAATAAAAAAGACATTACATGACATAATAAAAATAAAATTAATTCCTATAAAATTTTAAAAATATTTTAATTATTTGTACTATTTAAGAATAATAATAGTAAAAATAATTTAAAAAAATTATCTTATATAAAATATAAAATGATTCCCCCTATTTATTTATATTTCTAGTAGAGTATAAACTATTAATATAATAATTAAACAAGTTAACAATTAATATTAATCAGCTATAACTTGTATTGATATCGTTAATAAGAACTTTGTTAATCAGAAAGGTAGAAAAATACATGTTTTTTAATGTATGTTTTATTGTTTTATTTAATCTATTTAAATTATAATATATATATATATATAGTACAATTAATCAAATATCAATTTTATAATATAAAAATGTGAAAATAAAAGTATAAATTTATCTGTATTATTTTTTATCTAATAAATATATTTATAAATTTATAATTACAAAACATTTAAAGAAATTGAAAAAAATATTAAAAAAGTTAGACAGAGTTTATATATATATATATATATATATATAGAGAGAGAGAGAGATTGGAAATCCTCCCTCTAAATTTTTTTCTTATTTTTATTCTATTTTTTTAATTTAATTTTTTAAAGAGAGAGAAAAAATAATTTTATACCGATAAAACCTAGAGAAATAAATTGGACAAAAAAATTATTAAAAATAAAAATGTTTTGAGAATGAAAAGAAATTAAAATAAAAATAAATAATTTTAAGCATAAAAAATTAGAGAGAGAATTTACTATGAAATAAAATGAAAAATATAATTTACATAAAAAAAAAGAACAACAAAGAGAAAAATTTAAAAAGAAAATGTAAAGTGTGAAAAAATATTTTAGAGACACAAAAAATTTAGAGAAAGAAAATTTGAGAGAGAATTTTTTTAAAACATTAAAATTTAGAAAAATAAATTTAAAGAGGGAAAGCAAAAATTTAGTGACACATAAACAATTTATTAAAAGAAAAAGAGTAAAAATAAGGAGAAAAGAAAAATTTAATAAAAAATAAAGTTAAGTGATTCTCAATTAGGAATGAAAATATGTGAGGCTATTTTACGAGAATTTACTATTTAATTTTTTTTAAAACCTAGCTTATTTTGACTAATTTAAGTAATATGTTTAATTTATACTTTTTAAAAGTCTTGATTAATTAAATAGGCATATTAGAATAGCCTATTTAAAACTCATAAAATTTATAATAATATATTAAATAATTTTATATAAAATTATAATATAATATTATATTAAAAAATTAAATTTTAAATTAAATAAAATCTCAAAGTAGAAACATTTATTTTTTTGTTAAAGTTAAAGAATATCTTTTATATATACCCTTTAAAAGAAAAAATCTTATTTACTGTTATATACTTATTTATAATATATGTAACTTTTTCTTATTATTAGGTTAACATAATGTCTTTTTCAATTGAGAATAATAAATAATTTTGTCTATTCGTAATCGTATTGCACTTATATATGTGAATGGTCAATTATCATTGAATTTAATTAATAATTTATTTATAAAAAAATTTAATAACCTATTGAATATTACAATATAAAATAGACTATTAAAAAGATTAATAAATCAAAGTAAACTTTTAGAAGAGTTAATTTAGATTTAATAAAAGCCTATATAGACAATAAATTAAAATTTTATTTCAAAATTATTAAATAAATAAAATTTATTTATATAAAATATAACCTAATTTAATTTATTTTCATCCCTATTCTCAATGTATCAATAAGCCTAGCACATGAAGTGGAGCTAACCCATAAGATGAGTTTAGTTGAATTATTTGAATAATAATATATCTTTTAAAAATTTTAAATCATGGTTGGCCCAAGCTCACAGGGTTTGGTGGGCTTGTTAGAGTTATGAGCTTTTATACGTGTGAGCCTTTAGCATCAGTAGGGGTTGGAATAAATGGGCAATTAAAGAGGTTTAGGTAAATAATGGGAGGATGAGAGTTTTGGTCAGCATAGCATGAGCTTAAAATGACGTAGCCCAATACTCGATGTAAAAGAAGAAACTCTACTGGCCCAAAATCTACCCAAACCCAACACAGAAGCCGGGATCCAGTTTGTTGCTCCAAAACCCTAAATACATCAACACTGCTTTACTTGTTTGGCTGCTCAAGTCTCAGCGAAGAGCTCCTTCACTCGCCGCGTTTTTCCGAGTTCCTTCGCTTTCAAGACTCGGTAAGATCTTCTTCCATAACTCAAACCGGATCCGCAAGCCTTTGCTCTTTAGATTAGTATTCTATTATCGTTATTTTATTCTACTGCTTTCATTCAGCTTTTCATTATTGATTAACCGATGCGTCTTCTATGCAATTTCATTATCGACAATGTTACGGTTCTATTAATTGAATGTAGAAAATGTTTGGGGTATGCACAACACTGCTTTTATATTTATTATGATTATTTTTTGTACTAGTTACTATGGTGAGGGTTAGTGTCTTGAACGATGCTCTCAAGAGCATGTACAATGCTGAGAAACGTGGGAAGCGACAGGTTATGATCCGGCCATCCTCGAAGGTGATCATAAAGTTTCTTTTGGTGATGCAGAAGCATGGTACTTCTCAACATCCTTTTCCCCCCCTTTGATTGAATATAATGAAAACTTGTTTTAGTGTTACGATTTAACATGCTATGGTTCTTTGAAGGGTACATTGGGGAGTTTGAGTATGTGGATGACCACAGGGCTGGCAAAATAGTGGTTGAATTGAATGGCAGGTTGAACAAGTGTGGGGTTATAAGCCCCCGCTTTGATGTTGGTGTCAAGGAGATTGAAGGTTGGACAGCAAGGCTTCTGCCCTCAAGACAAGTAAGCCAAAGCATGCTTTACATGTTTTCATGAAACTTATGAGGTTGATTTCTGGGGCGTCTTCTGTGTTGTAAAAGAATATAAACTGGTCAATGAAATAGGCATAGCAAGTTCTTTGAAATTTGAATCCTAACACCCCCAACTTTGTTTTTGTTATGGACCATCCTCACGTTTACATTAAACTATGAAGGCCACCAGTGATTAACATCTGCACTGCCACCAGTTCCTGTCCTTCCTCTTTTTCACTAGGTTTCAGCACTTTGGCTTTGTGCTTTTCATGTAGTAATAAATGGTGTTATTGTTTTTGTCAATGTTATGAATAGCGGATGGTGGGTCATGGCAGAAATCCCAAAAACTGCCATAGAATTATGGCGGCCGCCATGGCAGGTTATGGCGGAATTATGGTGGCTATAATAAATATATAAAAAATATTATATAGATAATAAGAAATTATAGAAAAAAATTAACTCAAGACAAAAGTAGCTTTACCCATAATTCAATACAAAATAAACATTTCTTAATTTTTTGTTATGTTATCTTTTTTTTATTTATCTTTTCTTCCGCTATTCTGTTTAGGGTTCCAATAAATATTTACTTTTCTTTTCTGTCCAAGAGTTTTTAGGGTTTTATAAGGGTAAAAAGACTTTTTCCTTTTAAAAAATTTTAGCTTTCCCTTTTTGCCCTATGTTTTAAGCTTTTTTAAGGGTAAAATAAAATAGTCTTATCACACTACTTCCCTAACTCTTTTTTCTTTCTTCACTTCTGTTTGAGCTATCTTCTCCAATATCCATCTCTTTCTCTCGTTTAGTGGGCAGTCTCTGTCTTTGGTTTGGGGTGGCTCCCTTCCCTCATTTGGAGGACTAGTTGCTGGAAATAGAAGTTGAAGTTGCCGGAGATAGAGGTGAGGTCGCCGGAAATGGAGATAGAACTGCACCAAAACAGAAACCCAAGGAGCTCAGGACAAAGAGATCTCAGAGAGAGAGAGAGTGAATCTGTATTGAGAGCAGAGAGAAAAGAGATGAGCAGAGAGGAAAGTGAGATTGCAGAGAGAGAGAGTGAGATCGCAAAGTAAGGGAGAGTGAGATCGCAAAGAAAGGGAGAGTGAGATCGTAAGGAGAAGAGAGGGGAAAACCTGGATTTAGGGTTGGATATTTGAACCGGGTTGGGTTAGGTCTGGCCCAAAATTGCAGAAAAACCCTATTTTCAACATAAGAAAATGCCATATCCACCGTTACTGCCATGCTCAAAACGGCCGCCATGGCGCTGCCATGCATTTCCGCCACACCACACCATAGTTGTAACTGCCTCCGTCGAAAGCGCCACACCATTCCGCCATAGCGCCACCTTAACCGATTTTTAACAACACCGGTTTGTGCCCATTTTTAGTTTCATCAATTTTGTCGTTCAACCCTATCTAGTCTTCCATGCTTCCATATAATTTCCCTGTCATTGAATAGCAATGAGTATAAAATGAAGGTGAGAAAAGATGCCTACAAAATTTGGAGAATGTTTAGTTTGTGCTTGTTTGAAAAGCTGAAGAAGTTGCTTACCAAGAAGTTCTTTGTGTGACCATAGCTCTGAATTTAACCTTTACCTTCTGAACTGAAGTTCATATTGAACTGAGGTTGATAGGGCTTGAATACCTAGCCTAGCGAGACCAGATAAATTTTTACCTAATGCACATTAATTCAATATGTTGTTCGTGGTTAGGAACCCTTTTTATTGGGGAAAATTATTCACTTGAGTCTTCCTGGTTCTATAATTACAATTGCTTTTTACGGGTTTTCTCATTCTTAATCTAAAATAAGGAAACATTTCTGTAGTACTGTAGTAATATTGTTGTGTCTGGATCAGCAAGCTGCCTTATTTCTGTTTTTCTTTTCATACGGTTGCCTGTTGTATTCTTATAGGTTTAATAGGTTGTGGTCAAAATTATGTTGCTTTGATAAAGTGACGATCTATTTGTCATCTTGATGCAAAATTGCTATCCTATGAATTATTAAACTTTATGTATTCCGTTATTCTGATGCACATGGTTTCTCCTGTTTGCCCCTAAACTTGTGTTGCACGAAATCATGCAGTTTGGGTATATTGTCTTGACAACCTCTGCTGGTATCATGGATCATGAAGAGGCTCGGAGAAAGAATGTGGGTGGTAAAGTGTTGGGTTTCTTCTACTAGGCTAGTTATTATTTGTTCTGAGGTTCGCACTGATTTCCGTTTTAGATCCTCAACGGTTTTGATGGACCAATGTGCTGGTTGCTAGCACTATCAAGTTATAGAGAGCAAGAGCTTTTTCTTTTTTAATTCGTGTTTTATTGTTTGTATAAACCGCTTGGTCACTCGTCTTTATTTCTTTACGAAAATATGTTGGCTGATTCTGTTTAACGGGTATGAATTTTACTGAAATGTCCGACTGTTAGTTGTTTATAGGCAAGAGTCTTTGTTGATTGGATTGGATTGGTTTTAACAAAATGACACCTCTTCCGATCATAAAACTATAGTGTGCTTTGATTTATATTCATTTGAAAAAAAAGTAAATCTAATTTGGTCCGATCAAAAACATTTTGAATTGAATTGGATAAATTGGTTTTTAAAATTTCATTTTAATTTGGTTAAAATGTGATGAACACAATATTTTACTATTTTTTACATTATTTTTAAATATACTTAATTATTTTACGTAAAATTGATATAAAATATGATATTCAAGAGTAATGTTTAATTAATCTAAAAATATAAACTTATGATTATTTAAATAACTTATGATTGTTTAAATAATTAAAAATGTCTAAAAAAATTAAGAGATATAAATTAAAAATAAAATAATGAGAAATAGCAAAATGTTATAATTTTATTGATATATAATTTTACAAGTACAATAGAGTTGTTAATTTTATTTTTATGTTCAGTTTGGATTGAAGTGAAGTAGAATTTCTAAAATGGTACACATTATTTAGTAAAAAGTTAAATTCTTGTGATCTATTATAATAGGTAGGGATGTCAAATGCATGTATCTAAATGACCTATATTTGTTAGATTAAACAAATATTCGTTAGATTAAATGGGTACTTGCGGGACCTTCCATGAGTTTTTATAATTCTTTATTAAAAGTACATTATAATTTATTTATTTATTACCATTCATATAACACAAAAGAAAATTAAATCATTCACATGATATTAAAAGAGTAGTTAAAGTTATTAATGTTAAGAGTTTCGTTACTTTTTATGTATATATAAGGGATAGTTTTGTAATTTTAATTTGTCAACGGTATTTGCAGACATGTATCTCACTACTCGAACGTTCCGTTTAATTAACATCTAAATCTAATCCAATAAGTATTCGCGGGTGTGAAATTTTTCCCCATTCCTAATAATATGGATCATAATTAAGTTTATGCTATAAACTTCTAAACTTTAATATAATAAGATATATTAAAAAAAACAGACTATTTGTAACATTTTAATTTTTCAACTGTATTTTCTTATTTTTAAAATGAAAGGATTTTTTGACAATATATATATATATATATATATATATATATATATATATATTTTAACTCAAGCAAAAATTTTTCATTCAAGAAAAAATAGATTAGAATTTCTCATCCTTCGCTCAAGCGAAAAATCTCTCGTATCAAAAATGGAAACTCTTGAATAGATTTTCACTCAAGCGAAAATATTAGTAAATGTGTAGTAAAATTTGTCTAGTTTTTTCACTCAAGCAAAAATCTTTGAAAAAAAAAAGAGCATTTAAGTAATTTTGGGCATTCTAAAAACATAGTTTTCAAAACAAATAATTATTTCTCAATCCACTCTCTATTCTCTCACTCCCTCCTTTAACTAGAAACCCTATACCCTCCAAACTTCTTTCGAATTCGAGCTTGGATGATTTTTCCTCTTGATCTCAAGTAAGTTTTTTCTAGCTCAATCTTCTCAGTTCACTTCTATTTCTCTATTTTTGTCTCTTCTCAAAAGTTCTCTATTTTAAATATATAGAAAGATCTTAGTTTTTGGATGATATCTTCCACCAAAATGTTACACCTTCTTTCGGATCTCGAGAAAAACTTAGCCTTAGAGACATGATCTCTTATCTCTTGATTTCAAGAGACCTATTTCAAAGTAAGAAGAGTTGATCACAAACCCTAACTCATTATATGTTTTTGACTTAAAACTCAAATTTTCATGTTTTAGATAGTAGAACTCTAATGTTTTCCTAAAAGTACAATGTTAAAAATAAATTTTTGTACATAAAAAATTTATGATTTGTTTACGAAACTAACTAACTAAAATTTCGTAGTAAGAGTTATAAATAAAATCTATTTAAGAAGTTTCTACAATTTTGCTATTGATTATTATGTATGTATGGTTAATATTGTGAATTATTATCTTGAACAATATATACTGGAAAAAGGCTAAACTTTAGGATGGATGATTTTTATTAAGACTAAGAGTGTGATATCTGAAAATGTAACTATAGTATGTGATTTAATTAATTTTAATGTAACATCCCTAATTTTTTTTTTTGGTTTTCCATCAAATTTAATTGGGATCCAACTCGGGTCGTGCCCGAGTCGCGCACCTGGATGTAGTGGGTGAGTCTACCACTAGAGATTTTTTGTATATACAAGAACTCGAATCCGAGATCTTGCTTAAGTTATACCAAGCTGCTTGCCACTCGGACCAACCTCCGTTGGTGTAACATTCCTAATTTTGTATTCCAAATTGTAAAGTGATTTATAATGAGAAGAGAAAAATAAAAGAAATATTTTTTTTGAAAATTATAGATTTAATAATTAATGAAAAGACCAAAATTATATTTTATAATCTTTCACAGAAATAGTTTCACAATTTTCAATTTATAAATGAAGTGAAATAAAAAAAAATTTCTAGACAATCCACTAATTCGTATTACATACCTATAAGTTTAAAATATACATGATACTGTCTTAAAATAGCTGATTACCTATATTATAAATAATATTTACAATAAGATTTATTGAATATAATAATTTTTGAATTCAACATTTAAATAATCACACAACACCAACGGAGGTTGGTCTGAGTGACAATTGGCTTGATATCACTTAAGCAAGGTCTCAAGTTCGAGTCCTTATGTATGCAAAATATCTCGAGTGGTGACTCACCCACCACATCCAGGTGCGTGACCCAAGTCGGATTCAGATTAAACTGGATGGAAAACAAAATAAAAATAAAAATAAAATCACACAACCAATTACAAAGGAGCTTAGCCTATATATAGGCAAGCTAACTCAAAGGGTAACATGGTCTCTAATAGGCCTCAAAACAAAGAAAAGAAGGGGAATGTGATTTGGGTTGAATACATGCCCAGAAACATGACCTAAATACAAGTTCAAACAAAAATACAAAAGACTCCACCCTAAAGCCCAATAGGTTTCTTGAGCTCATGGCCAAAATACAAGGCCCAAAACAAACTATTCTAAAACATGAACAAAGTAATTACAAAAGTGTATACATGTGTGATCCTATGACTCTTAGGATCACATCAACAACAAGGAACCCAAGACAAAAAAAATAAAAAGAACAAAGAGAATAATATCACTAAGTATAAGTAATCAAAAGGTTTCTCAGTTAGAATCTTATATTCCCTAAAACTTTTTGCTCAAGCATCAAATTAGGAGACTTTACTTTCCTCTCTCACTAAGTGTCTAGGGACAAAAGAAGATATCACTCAGTTCCTCCAAAGAAAAGTGTACTACCATAGACTTGACTATAAATTGACTCTCTACTAAATAAATTAAATGCAAGTAAAAATCATGAGATCTTTTTCAGGTTGTAATGTGGCTAAAAGGTTATAATATTTGAGGTGAGATAAATGAAGGGAAGGAATGTACAAAGAGGTAATAAATCATAAAAATTACAAAAACCCTTAAACTTATAATGAAGCTCTTGGAGTAATTTTTTATATTTCACATTCAATCAATTTCTTTACTCCTCCTTCTTTTCATTCATTTGTTACCCATTTTCTTTTCTTTGTGCTATTTTTCATTTTATTTTATATTTACACAAATTTTCTTTCTTTTTGCACATAAGATATGTAGAAGAGAATTTATCAAACAATTCAACAACTCAATTGTTTCATTCATAAACTCAAAGTCATTAAAGTATATTATAATTTCAACGCAAGAGATCAAGAAAAATTAATAAAGTTCAAAGTGGATAACTAGTTGCATATTTATCTCAAACATGCTAAAGGCTAAGAAAAAATATTCCTAATACGCCTTAATCATATTAAAGCATGTAATAACAAAGAGTAACCTTAAGTTGATTATAAGTCAAGTTCTAGAGCATAAATCCTAAAGGGAAAATCATACAAAATAATAAGGAAATGAGTATCATTAATTAGGTTAGGATAAAAATCTCCTTTAAGACTCAAAACTCACATTTGTGGGTTAAAGTTTAATGTTGATGAAAAGAATAAGAAACTTAACTAATTATTAGTTTCTAAATTAAAATTTTATTCCAATAATAATTACTCAACATGTTTTTCTATCTGAGAAAATTGGGTTCTTTGAGGATAAAAGTTACAAATTATCATGAAAAAGGGCATTAATATTTACATAAGAACATGCAGTAACAATTACATTATTGAGAACTTCCTCATACTTAAAGCAAAATCTTGTTCTCAATGTTTAAAAAAATTAAATGCATACAAAAAGGCCAATTAAAAAATAGAAAGGAAAAAGACTCGCTGATAAGTATGGGAAAATTGCCTATTTGAGAGTCAAAATGTGATTCCTTAAGCGTAACAACCTATGCTGCAGTAGCATGGCCATGCCAAATCATTTGCATGTCCATGCTTATAAAGTAGAATCCTTCTTCTCCAATTGCAACTACATGCACGGCCGTGCATGCCAATAAGCATAGGTGTGCTTGTGAATCAGAACTCATAATATGTGCCCAGTAGTGGTAAACTATAAACTGAATTGCTTTGAGCTCTTAGGATGCTTATTCTTCATCCTAAAAAAAAATAAACAAAAAAATTAGAATAAACAAAAAGGACTAAAATTAAAATTAAAATGAAAGATGTAGGTTGCCTCTTGGGAGCGCTTATTTAAGGTTATGAGTCTGTCAGTCCTGTTAGATTATGGTGGGAAGAAGACATGAGTCTCAGAGATAACTCTGTTTATATGTGATTGTCTTCTTGACAGCTTCTCCTCCATAACACCTGTCATCAAAAGTACTAATCATAGGAAGGAAAGAGGGGGAGACTTAAAATAAGGAGGAGAAAATTTAAGCTCTAAATATAGGGGTTGATTAGTGAATGGTTTGAGCTTTTGTTTCTTCTCATCCTTAGATTGCTCGTTCCTTAGCCTTCTTCTTAGAGTTTCATGCTTTACAAAATTTAAAAGAGATTAAACAGTATCTACAATGCTCACAAAGTTATAGGACTCTTGGCTAGAAGGGTACTTTAAAGAATTGAAAACTTGAAAAATGACTTTTTCATCTTCTAGCCTTAAGGTGAGCTTTCCTTCCTAGACATCTATGATGGCCCTTGTAGTAGTTAAGAAGAGTTTGCCTAGGATGATAAGAACATCATCATCCTTTTCCATTTCAAGAACCACAAAATTAACAGGAAATATGAATCTCCAACCTTCACAAGCACATTTTTCACTATACCTTTAGGGTATGTGATCGACCTATCTGCCAACTGAAGTGACATGGAGGTTGGTTTAGGTTTATGCATTCCAAGCTTCTTGAAAATAGAATAAGGCATAAGGTTAATAATATTGGCTCCTAAATCACATAAGGCTTTATCAATATAAGTTTTTCCAATAGGGTAAGGGATAAACAAATTCCCTGGGACATTAAGTTTGGGCGAAAGCTTTTTAAAGACTTTAGTTGAACACTCTTCAATTAAATTTACAATCTCGTGCTTGTTCACCGTCCTTTTATTGCTCAAGATTTCTTTTAGGAATTTGACATACTTTGGCATTTTAGATATCACATTGAGAAAAGGAAGGTTGATGCCTACTTTGCAAACTTTTTATCATCCTTTTCAATACGCTACTCCAACTTACATTCAACCTCTATCATCCTATTATCGGAATAATGAACATATTGTATCATTGTCTCTTGAAAATTATACTGAGATCTATGAGCCACTGCGCCAGAAAGAAGATGTGAGAGCAGTTTTGTTTCAATTTAGAGAGCTTTTGAAACTGCTCTAAAATCTTATGCTATCCAATGAATTGCATTTGAGAGCGATTAAATAATCTCTCAAATATTGATATTGGAGAGCAGTTCACAAAGTGGATGTCACTTAGAGAGCGATTCATATAATTGCTCTCCAAAATATGAATATGAACCGCGAATCTGAAATTTAAAATTTCTTTTTTTGTGAGCTTTCTATTACAAATAAAAAAAATTTAATTTATTGTTACGTTTAAATTTGAATTTATATGTTTGTCATTCAAATTTTTTTCATTTTTATTGCAAATTAAAATTGAAACTTGAGTACCAAACAAATAGTCCACGTCTTCATAAACCAAACATAGGTAAGCAAAGAAAAAGAGAACAAATTAGTAGGATGGTTCACTGTTAATAGAGTGAAATGGAAACAAAGAGAGAATAGAGAGAACCGTGAGAAAGGTACCTATATATATGAAAAAGACCAACTTTATTAGCGTAGTGAAGACAATGAGAAGAGAACCTACAAATGTAAAATAGACCAAAAAAATCAAATTTGTTAGCGTAAGAAGACAAAGAGAACTTATAGAGGTAAAAGAGACTAACTTTGTTAACAAGACAAAGAGATTTTAGAAAATGTAAGTTGAGCATGTTTTATTTATAAAATTTAAAGACTTTGGAAAGCAATTTTTTGTTAACTCTCTTAGAGAGCGGTTAATATATAACCGCTTTTTAAAGTGTGTAACTTTAGATAGTGATAAACAGATAACCGCTTTCAGAAGTATAGATTAGAGAGCAGTTCAACACTAATTATGTAACATCCTTAATTTTATTTAAAATAATAATAGTAAAATTTTGGAATTAAGTGGAAAATAAGATAAATTTTTAGTTACTGGTCGAATATAATAGTAAATTATCATATGTTCTGTTCATTTTGCTCAATTGTACAAAACTTTGAATAATGAACAATAATGGTTAAACAGAATCTGAATAAGAAACATTAAAATATATGAAGATACATTGTTCTCATAATAAACATAATGTTAACATTTACAAATTATTCATTAAAATACAATAAAATGCATTAGGTCTTTGGTTCCAACATTTACAAATTACAAAACATATGGAATCCTAATGAGCAGCCTATCCATCACGTGACCAAATAGACACTAGTCATCCCCATGCCATCCCTCTATCATCGCTATATCGTCATAGTCAAGGTTGTCATCCGATCCGAGATATAAGTCACCAGGATCTGCAGTAACTTGGGTACTAGTAACTCTCTCGAACATCCAATGAGATGGTCTTCCAAGATAATCGTGGTCATGGTACGTGAACAGATATGTCAATGCTACAGGGGTCCTCACGGTGCCAGGAAAGATATATATATATATATATATATATATATATGCATAGAGTATGATGGATTTTACTTATAGGAAAATCAAAAGAAATACTAAAAGCTAATTCTATTTCCATCATAGTAAGGTCACTAGGTACATCACTTTCATATACAATAATCCTAAAGAAACAAAGTCGCTGATACTTATTAAATACATGATTTAACCTATGAGTTACAAAACTATCTACAAGTCTAAGGCTGTCGGTGGGTGCTGTCATCCTGGTTTGCTGAAATGGTTATGTAAGGATGAGTCTTTATTTTCATTACTAAGCATACAACCATAAATAATTCAATGATACAGATAAAGAAATCATGCGAACATCATATTATAAAATTATTATTCATATAATTTATTCAACTTAAGTCTATTACTACTAACATTTTCATTTCCCAATTTCACTGCCCCTGGGATCCCTCAATGTCTTCCTTAGCATAAATAGTCGCTGGATAGCCACAGCTACACGGATACAACGTGTGCTGACCCGGCCCCTTTTAGCAAAAGCATGGTCAAGAGTTTAGTCAGGAAATGAGTGTGAGGCCTGTGGTGCTCCTACTCTCATTTGTCTTGCGTAATTCAAGAGAAGTATATACCACCCTCATTTCCCCAAGACTTTTCAGTCTTCTCCATCTTCCATACTCTTAGCGTACTTTTGAACTGTCTATACCTATCCTTATCATATCCTTTCCATGTTTCTATCTTGTGTTTCTATATTTTCCTTAGTTCATGATTATATCATATATTACTCAATAATTGCTGAGAGTTAGTTCTCTCAGACTCAGTCCACAATATTCATACATATATTCAAAATAAAGAATACAATCATCATCAATCATCACCAAAACATGTTTCACATATATCAAATCATATTCCAAGCATATCAAAAACATATTATCACTCATCACATATTCAAATCAAACACGATCATACATGCAAACACAACATTTCTTAGTAATAAGATAGAGCTCTTCTTACCTTAGGAAACTAGTTTTTGGTTAAGGAGAAGGTAAGAGAAGGTTGGTTCACAGACCTAGGTAATTCTACACCTTAAAGGAAAGAAATTCTTTGAGAAAAGAGAAAATAGAGAAGATAGAAGTAAAATGAAAGGTTCGAGCTCTAAGATACTCACCAACAATTCTGTAGAGTAGAAGTTTGAGCTCGTGTTCAGTGAAGTTTTTGACTTTTTAAGACTTTTATCTGTGATAGGGAAGTGACAGTTCGGAGAATATGAGAGAGGTACGTGAGTTGTGAAAGTGAAATAAATTTCCATGCTGAAAATCTCTTAAATATCCCTCAGCCCTGTGCGATCTCACTTGAGCGACGAATGTCTCACTTAAGCGACGACTCCCTCGCCTAAACGAGATATGCAGACAATGGTCTTCCCAACGTTTCTCTGATATGCTCGTATGAGCGAGCTTTATCTCGCCTAAGGGAGATGGCGACCAGAAGGGGCGAGATTTCTCCTGTGAGTCCTCGCCTGAACAACACAACTCGCCTAGGTGAGATCTCCATCTAGCCTGAGCGAGATCACTCTCGCTTGAACGAGGTGATAGTTGGGCCAATTCTATCCTATCTCGCTTGAGCGAGATTACTCTGAAAATAGATATTTCTGGGTGCTCAGTTTCGCTTGAGCAAGGTTCTCTGCATCAACCTCTTCTAAAACTTTTCTCAATTTACTCCTATCACATCCTAATGCTATTTAATATCAAACAAAACATAATTTTCTAAATAATGAAAAGAGGGTGTTACAAACTGTACTGAAAAGTAAACATCATAGAGCGGTTCTCTATGAACTACTCTCAGAAGTATACATTAGATAGCAGCTCAACGTTAACTGCTCTCTAAATGTATTGTTACAAAGTGGTTTCTACTAACCACTATCTATGTTAACGCTCCAAAAATTCTTTTCTGGCATAGTGAGCCTCTTTTCCCACTAGTCGTAGTCCTTGATTTTGTATATAGGGAGGGCGATAAACTTTTAAATTTCAGTTTTCAAAACCATTCTCCCAAGAGTTAGAAGGGTTGTTTTACATCTTAAGTTGTAATTATTGTCTATAAAATTAGTTTCCTCTTTAATTTTAGTAACTAGACAATTGTTATTATGGCTAGAGGAGTCGCAGTGCTCACATAAAGAAGTTGCAGGTGATTTTGTCGATTGTCCTTGTACTCTCATTAAAGATTTCATCTGCTCAGTCAAAGTTTCTATTTGAGTTGTTAAAGGATTATTGCTCTTTGGTAGATATATTGGAGCAATTTCCTCCTTTCTACTCATGAAAGGGTTAGCTGTATGTCACTAAAAACTAGTAGATGTCATCTCATATGCCAATTTATAGTCTCATCCGGTTCTTTTCTCATTAGAGTTCTTTCAACTGTTGCATCAATTGTGGCCTTATTGGAGATTGATAAAGCAACTTTAAAATATTTGCATTTGTCTCCACATGGGAAAACTATGGTGAGGGCACCTTCTCAGATGTTCTTCAAATTGTTCCCATATTTTTAATAGGATTTCGACTTATACTATTGAAAACTGGAAATTTCTGTCATAAGCTTAGCAGATCTATAGAGGGAAATATATTTTTCTCAAAATTGTTGAGTTAAATCCTCTCATATTGTGATGGAACTTGCTGGAAGCATGGTGAACCATGCATTTACCTTTTCTCTGACAAAGAATGGGAAAAAGGCGAAGCTTAATAGCATCACTTGTGACTGCGTTGTACTTTATAGTGTTTATGAGTCAGAGAAATTTTGTCAGATGGAGGTTGGGGTCTTCATTAGGCATTCCTCCAAACTATGTAGAATTTTGTACCATAGTAATGAACACTGTCTTCAACTCAAAATTGCTGGCCTCCATATTAGGGACCGCGATGCGTTCACCTATAGCAGTAGGTGTGATGTAATCTTGAATTGATCTCTTTTCTTCTGCCATTCTTTGCTTTCTCAACTATTTCCTTTGTCTTCACACAACTCTTTCAATATCTGAATCAAATAAGCAAGTTGTAAAAGACACTACAAGAAATCATATATACAGTGATTATAGTATTTGTCATTAAAAGCTTTAAAATTTGTCATTAAAGTAATTTTGTGATGATATTTAAATTTGTCATCTATTATCACTAGTAGTTAAATCATTATTATATTTGTAACAATATTATGTAGTAATTAAAATAAAATATTTATTATGACAAAATTAATATCACTAATATATACAAGTATTGATGACAAAATAATTCATCATTGATATCATATCATTTGAGATGATTATTACTCAATATTATTCTAAAAGTAATGACTAATTTATTCATCAATATTAAAAATTATTTTAAATAATATTTTTATAACAAAAAAGTTTTTAAAAATTAATGTTTAATTAATAGTTATTTTAAATTAGTAATTTATATATTATTACTCAGATTTATATTACTAATGATTTTAATTATTATTTTTTAAAATTAATGTTGTTGTTATATCAAATCAATTTTATCATATCAATTGTGTTTTTAAATAAAATAAATATAAATTAAAATTGTAAATGATAAATTATGAAGGCGTATGTTGAATGATAAATTTAAATATAATAAATATCCAATCAAAGTTTACATATGAAAATTATAAATAAAATTAAAATACATCATCAACATATTAAAATTCAAAAAAAAGAAAAGAAAAGACTACTATTAAATTAAACAACTAAAATAGGGTGAAAAACACTTTCATGGATTTTGATCCTATAAATAAGAAAGAAGAATAAAACTAATATTAATAAATACAAATCAATCGATTAATAATCTTTTAGGAATGTACTCATATAATATTTAAGTGATGATAACTAAAATAATTAATAAACTTACATTAGTAGTTGGAGCACGTGAGCCATTAAATAACTTGTTGAATGATAATTTTTTCAATAAGATAGTCTATTGACATTTCATCTTTATCTGAAGGCCTTGCTTCTTTTATTTTTGTTGAGATTCAAAATTTAATCTTTGAGCATTAATCAATTCACTTTAAGATTGCAATTCAATTTGGAGTTAAAGATTAGCCTCCTCTTGTTTTCTTGGAATGTCAGTCAATTTTTGCACTTTTATTCCCAAATCATTTGCTCTCTTTTTTGCATTCTCAACTTGATTTTCAATGATTTGTTTGTTTATAAATTTTTTTGTTATTGTTGCACTTCATAAACCAAGTGAATGATTTGGTTTTCTTCCTAATATAAGTGCAAAATACTCAACCAATAGCTCTAGAGCTTGAGAAATGTCTTCTTGATATATATATATATATATATATATATATATATATATATATCTCATATTCTTCAAATCTTCTTGTAAAAAGTTTAAAATAAATAAAATGAAAATATAAAAAATTAGATAATTTGCACAAGAAAAATATTAATGAACTTTTTATTTCAACTGTCACAATTTTTAAAAATATTTTCTTATCATAATTTGGTCACCATTTGGAGTACAATGTATTCCATTAGATCTCATTTGTGTGGCCTTCTATATTTTCACAGCATTTGGCCATTTATTAGTTTTTGAATCTTCTTTCTATTAAAAATAAATAAAAAATAAATAAGAATTTAAAAATAATAAAATTTAATTGATAAATTACAAAAAAATAAAAAACAATAAAAATAAAAAGTAATACATATTAAAATTTTCTATTTATAAAAAATAAGAACAAGTGAAATTATTGGTTTTCTTATTATGGGTCTCTAGTTTGGATTAAACTATATGAATAGAAATAAAAAAAGCAAGATATGTTTGAATAACAGAAGAAATGAATGATATTAAAATTGCAATAAAAGATATCAATTATAATTCAACATCATCAACTTGAACAATATCAATTATTATTTAACAATATCAAAACGAACAATAATTCAATGTCATTCTAGATAAGTTACCAATTATAAATTCCAATAAAAGATATCAAAATTATCTATTAAAGTTAAAATTACTCATATTTTAGTCATAAACATAGATAAATACCATTTCAAATTACTCGTATTATATATAATGCATAAAAAATTAACATAAAACACAAAAAATACAATTTCAAATGCCTTTTGTGTCACCTTCTCAACAAAAGTAATTTTGACTAGCAAGTGTGCTAGTGTTATTGTAGCAAGTTATAAAATTTTTAGAACTATGTTTGAGTCCCAAATATCGTCCTTAGGGAATAGAATTCTCAAATATCACTTCACAAGTCCACAATTAGTTGAGCCTAACAAAATTCAGTTAAAGTTTGGAAGCAAAAACAACAAATATTAAACTCAGAAAACAAGACAGAACAAAGATCATGAAAATCTGTATTTAATAGATGTAGAAAATATAGTTAGGGACTTGTTTTATCAAAACTTCAGTGTTGATTTAATAAAGTTCTGAACTTTCAAGTATTTAGATGGAATCACAATCAGTTTCACAATATATTAATCAAAGGTTAATTCCTTAACTCAATTAATCTAACATTTAATTCAATCATTCTAATTCCTTAGATCTGGTTCAATTAAATGTTGCATTAAGCATTAGAAACCAAAAAATTGCATGATAAAGATGTCTTACCCTAAGAAATCAATAAACTTAGTAATTGATTCAGCTCTGAGAAACAAGTTCAACTTCTATTGATAAAAGTTCCCCTGTAATTAGTTAATCAAATTTTCATTCAACAACTACTTGAAAAGCAGAATCAATTACTCAATCCAATCCAACACTCAAAGTTCAGATCCAAAATCAATTCAACACTTCTATTTCAGATCCACAATCCCTAACTACAAAGAGTTTAAGCAACCATTACAAAATGAAAAGAGAAAGAAAGAGAAGAAGAAGATGAACGAAGAAGCATCTTCAAGCCAATGTTCAATCTGATTCCTCAAGATTTGCTCAGACTCTCTCAACACCAGAAAACAAGTGGAAAGTAAAAATGAACAAAAGATCCTAACAAATCTAAGCTCATTAGTATTTATAGAATTCCCACCTTTCTGGCGTGCTCACTATTTTTCATTATAGTAGCAATGCAGAGGCCTTTTTGATAATCTTTAGGACCGGAATGATCACTATTCTTCATGAAAGTAGCAACGCAGAGGTTTGAGGTTTGCGCGTGTTCACTTTCGTGAACAATAGGAGACACGCGCCACTTGTATAGATGGAAGATTCTCTAGAACGATCACTTTTGTGAACAAAAGTGATAACATGCATCTTGCTTGGATGAAAGCTTCGCTGGAACAATCACTTTTGTGAACAAAAGTGATAACGCGTGCTTTGCTTTGCTAGAGAAGTCTTTGGAATGATCACTTTCACCAGGAAAAGTGATCACGCACAAGTTTCCCTTCACTATCAAGCTCTGGAACGATCACTTTCACAAGGAAAAGTGATCATGCCCAGCTCTTACTTCATCAAACCTTGTTCCTTGATTCTAATTTTTCTACTTTTCTTCTATCTTTCCCTTGATCTTCTAATCTTATGAACCTAGCTCAAAATTTCCTACAAAAAATATTATTGAATAATTAATTTCTACAAAGAAAATCCATAAAATCTAAACAACTATATATTTAAAGAAGACTTTGAACATTCTATTATTTTTATGAGTTTTTCAACTTTTTCCAACATGTTTTCTTTATCAAATGTATTAAAACTAAAGTAAAATATTGGGAAAATATGGATTTATCATTTTCACAATTAATTTTGTATTAGTAATAGATTTAGTTTCTTGCTTACTTTATTAGCTTTATTTTTCAAGCTCCTCTCCTACAAGAAATGAAAATGATTTATTATTACAAGTAGAAAGAAAATAAACAAACTAAAGTTAAGGATAATGAATTTAGAATCAATCTATTTATTTTCTATTAGCCAGTTCTAATCCTTGAGAGACACATCATTTGCCCTTTTTTTTTTTTAAGATATGCTCTACACAAATTATGATGTCTATTCTTATATTAATATCGCATTTGTTTCATGACACATTCTTTAACTTCATCAGACAAACATAGGATTTCTTGAAGTCATGTAAATTCATTAGAAGAGACAAATCAAAATATTATAACTACATAGGTTAGAAAATATTGCATAAAAGAAGTAAATAAGTGAAGTAATGTTAACCTTAATATGTTTCCACATTATATCTACATCATCCTCAGATATTTATTTCTAACTATTAACTTGAAGCGGTGCTCGTTGGTGTATACAAATAAGTGCTTCAAATTTAAAAAAATTTGCATGCTTTCCATAAAGTTTGTAGTATGGTGGAGGAAATTGGATATCAAGAGTTTTTCTCTTTGCCATTCTCTTTGCCTTTTTCTTTTGGAGTTTTGCATTAATAGTATGTCCATGACCCTTTCTAATATTTTGCTTGTTTGAAATAAATAAATAAAATAATAGCATAATTTTCAAGAATATTGTTTTTAACTTTTTCTAAAAAAAAAAAGATTGATGTATGTAGAATCTTGGTAAAGTAAGGAACTATTGAATTATGGAAGATTTCATAGATGAACGTCATTGTCTAGCAAGTTAAACTACTCCATAATGGATGGTTGCATAGAAATATTCTTTACA